AATTTAATCTCTTTTTGAAAATGATTGGTTGGGTTTTAAAAAAAATATTTTCTCGCTATAACAGCGGCTGGTTGTGTGGGCACTATTTGGACAGGCCCAGTGTTCACAACCGCAATTACAACACAAACACTGCCATCGGCACCCGGAATTGAACGGGGTGCTTGGAGGCATAAAAGAGGCTGTAATGCTTTGCTGGACTCAATGTTCTCGCAGCGAGAGCAGTCCCCCCCCCCGGTGGGCGTGGCCTTAGCATGGGCGTGGCCCAGACGCATCTAACACTGAAGCTGTCAGTGAGAATAATCACTAGTGACAACATTCGCTTTAAATCTGCCTAAAAGGATCAAACCACTCGTTAGAAGAAGGGCACAGAAGATCCTTTCGTGTAAACACACCTGGCAGATCAAAGGTGTGAAGGTTCTATAACTTGGACGTTCCGGCCTTACAGGCTCAGATTCTATCTGCTTAAAGGGGCACGCACCTGCCTAAGGGCAGGTCTAATCCTTCAGGCATTTGCCTGACTTCATGTATGCTCTTGGCCCTTTTAGAAGTGCTGGGGCTGTACAAAATTGTTTGGAATGATTAACGATTAAGGCTGGGTTGACCTCGGTGAGTTTTGCCCTCTTGCCTCCTGCAAGGCTCACCCTGTTTATACTTGGTCCCTCTGAGCCTCTGAGGCCAGTTCATGTCAGTCATTCCTCTTTCACGGCATGGCGGGATTGTACTGGTTCTCCATAGCATCTAGCGATGCAGTACAAGTGAAGTATCGAAAGGGAACATACTCTGTTACTAACGTAACCTTGGTTCCCTGATATATGGGAACGAGTATTGCGTTGGTTGACGTGCCATGAAGCTGCACGACTCTGTGTCGTCACTTAAGTCAAATTTGCCTGAGATCGTATGGTGTAATGCCCGCTTATATAGCCAGATGGCAGCGCCCATTCTGGCGGGCTTCATCGTCATAGGCTCATGCAGCACTGCTGCAGAGCCACTGGTTTGTTTTTAATTTACTGCACGAACCAATGGCTGTGCAGTTACACTGCGTGATTGAAAAGTCTTCAGTCCTCAGAGAAAAAGGAGTTTTCCCCATAGCGTCTAGCTACGCAGTACTCATTCCCGTATCTCAGGGAACCGAGGTTACGTTAGTAACCGAGTACGATTGATATCAAGTATTCCAGAGAGCAGCAAAATAAAGTGTATTAAGTGTAACATACAAGTTACTGGCATAGCACCGTCTTATAACAAATGCCTTGCGTATAGTATCAGTGACATTCTCACAGAAACTGGAGCATACATGTGAACAGGCATTATCCTAGACAGGCATTATCTGGACAGTGTCATGCAATGTACGAAGCTTAAAGGTAGGGTGACCATACAGTCCATTTTTACAGGACACTTGTTTGCCAGGATTTCTATATTGCCTAAAATATCCAGGTTTTGGCTGTTTGCACTGTGCAGATCGATTGTTGTATGACATTCACGAGAGCTACAGAAAGCAGAGCAGATGGCTCCTTACACATTTGAATCACTTTCGCGGTACTTTGGTGTCAAACAATGATCGGTGTGCAGCGCTGCTTCAAGTCGAACGAACAAACACACCTAACGTGCACATTTTTGCATTGCTTTGATTGTTCTCTGCAGATCTCTCCTTCTCACGAGCCACAATCGGTCGATTATGTACAATACTTGCATGTTATTGGTGAAACTACTTCTGATATTTTAGGCAATATAAAAATCCTGGCCAGAACATGTTCTGTATAAATGGCACATATGGCCACCCTACTTAAAGGGATAGTTCACCCAAAAATGAAAATTCTGTCATTAATTACTCCTCCTCATGTTGTTCCAAACCCGTAAAACTTTTTTTCATCTTCGGAACACAAATTAATATATTTTTTATGAAATCCGAGAGCTTTCTGACCCTGCATAGACAGCAACGCAACTTATGGTTTTATGGACCAAAAAGGTAGTAAGGGCATTGTTAAAATAGTCCATATGACATCAGTGGTTCAACCGTAACGTTATGAAGCTACAAGAATACTTTTTGCACACAAAGAAAATAAAAACGACTTCTCTTCAGTGTCATTCTCTGCTGCCATTCATGAGTGCGCTACGACGCATGCGTGTGGTGTAGCTGATGCAGGAGCCGGTGTTCTGACGTAGAACCTGGATGCAATGCGCTTTGTTTACAGTAGAAGATGCATGCTGTACAAAAAGTCTTCGTAAACATGTCTGAATTGTAAACATTTCATGTAAACATTTCAACAGAGAGGATGACTTGCAAATTTTTGCCCAGCCTTACTTATTTGAACCAGAATATAAAGACGATGAACTAAGGGAGATGGACTTCCTACGTCAGAACGCCGGCTCCTGTGTCAGCACAACAGCACTGAATGGTGGTGGAGACTGACACTGAAGAGAAGAAATTGGCCCTGTTCCAAATGGCACACTTCATGTGCACTTTTGGCCGCTGTGTGCGCAAGTCCGTTAAGTCCACGAGACCATAGGGTGTCCCATTAAATATTTTAGCTTTCAGATGGGTGCTAACAAGCGCCTCCTTTGCGGCCGCTATGTGCCCTCGATGTGCACTTATGCTGAGCCCGCAAGCTACGCAGTCGACTTCTACCTGGCAGTCAAAGCAGCATGTCACAAAAGTGCGGACTTTTGTTTTCTTTGCTCACAAAAAGTACTCTCGTAGCTTCATAACATTACGGTTGAACCACTGATGTCAAACACACACACTATTTTAACAATGTCCTTACTACCTTTCTGGGCCATAAAATGTTTCAGTTGCGTTCAGTTGCAAGGGTCAGAAAGCTCTGATTTCATCAAAAATATTTTAATGTGATCCGAAGATGAGCAAAGGTCTTACTAGTGTGGACTGACATGAGGGTGAGTAAATAATGACATACATTTTATTTTTTGGGTGAACTATCCCTTTAAAATTGATCATCTATCTATCTATCTATCTATCTATTTATCTATCTATCAGGGCTGGGTAAAAAAAAATTATCGATATCTCGATATTAATCGATTCAAATTTTTACGGAACAATATCGATTCTTAAATCCCAAGAATCGATTAGTCTATAGCCTGTTTTCAGTTAATGGACGGAACATTGAAGGACACGTCCCATCCAATAAATCACAATAAGCATTGTGCTTTGGTACTTTTAATATGAAAAAGTCTCAGATTTCAAATTCTGTCCATTGTATTGTAGTATTTAAACAATAAATGCCGTTTTGGCGCTGTTTAATGTGAAGTGACAGACAGCCTCAGTACAACAGACGCAGCAGCGCGAGGCGTAAGTGAACTGATCATCTCCTCCACATTAATTAATAATTATTTTCAGCACAAAACATAGCATAAACATGACTAAACATCCAAAGGCAAGTTAAAAGAAAGTAAAACTTTACAATCCGTATCCTGTCTCATGTAATCGCTCAATGGACCCTTTTCACATTCCTGGGTTTCTCAGCAGCGGAAGTCATCATAGTTGGGTTAACATGAAGAGCAGTGAATGGGAGAGTACCACAAATATATTTTTTTGCATTCCCATTTGCTAAAATAGCAAAAGAAAAACTCCACAATAGTGTTTTCGTGACTTTCAATAAAAGGGAAAAAATTGAGAGAGACTGATAACCAGTCAGAAGAGAGAACGATGTCAAATTTACCGTCCCTCCCATAGACGCTGCATTAGAAATACCCTCGCATTAGCGTTAACTGTTTTTTTTGTAATTTGATGCAAAGGTGATATAATACAAAGAATAGTGTTATAAATGTACATACATAAAAAAAAATACAAATATTAAAAACTTGAGGATTTACGATGCTGATGATTGTTAAACGCGTCATCAGTCTTGTGAAAAGGGTCCATCAGTGTTTCAGCCACGCCCTCCCATAGACGCTGCATTAGAAATACCCTCGCATTAGCGTTAACTGTTTTTTTTGTAATTTGATGCAAAGGTGATATAATACAAAGAATAGTGTTATAAATGTACATACATAAAAAAAAATACAAATATTAAAAACTTGAGGATTTACGATGCTGATGATTGTTAAACGCGTCATCAGTCTTGTGAAAAGGGTCCATCAGTGTTTCAGCCACGCAAAGATGTCAATAATGGCTTGTAAACAATGTCATGTAACGTCACATTTACCTCAGAAAAAAACATATTCGGTGACCATAAACTCTAGTCAGATAAAAAAATAAACTGTAGAGAGGGGTACTTTGCTAAATATATGCACCATATAACATATTCATTATAATTTTTACTGTTCTTCAATGTTTAATTTATGTTTGAATAAATCCAATATGGGGGGGGGGGTTGTTACTGGCAGGTCCAGCTTATGAAAGGAGTGGGAATCACAAACCATTACTACTGCTGGCTCCTCTGACACATCTAGAAAAAGCATGACATAACATACACAATACTAAGCTTGAATGGTAAAAAAAAAAAAAAAACTACATTTAGCCAATGTTTTTTTTTTTCTGCTTAAAGATTTTTTTTAAATGCACACTCTATATAGAATACAAATCTTGTAAAAAACATTTATAATGTGTGAGACGAGCTACACATGTATATGCTAAAGTTGAATTTAACTGATTTGAGTGTTTTGGAAGTCAAAAAGGATACGGGTTACTGAACATCCTTTAATTTATGTTTGAATAAATCCAATATGGGGGGGGGGGTTGTTACTGGCAGGTCCAGCTTATGAAAGGAGTGGGAATCACAAACCATTACTACTGCTGGCTCCTCTGACACATCTAGAAAAAGCATGACATAACATACACAATACTAAGCTTGAAGGGTAAAAAAAAAAAAAAAACTACATTTAGCCAATGTTTTTTTTTTTTCTGCTTAAAGATTTTTTTTAAATGCACACTCTATATAGAATACAAATCTTGTAAAAAACATTTATAACGTGTGAGACGAGCTACACATGTATATGCTAAAGTTGAATTTAACTGATTTGAGTGTTTTGGAAGTCAAAAAGGATACGGGTTACTGAACATCCTTTTAAGGTCAACTTTTTCTTTGCAGTATGGACATGTCTGCTTCTTACCCACAATGCACCAGCCACGTATGCAAAACTCATGGAATCTGAGAAAAAATAGGTTAAGGAAACAAATGTGTGCATCTAGTGTATGGGCCAGATGATGACAACTCTATTGTCTGTGGTTTTAAAAAGTTAGAAATGTTGTCAAACTTTTACATGTAATTTTACTAATATCAGTGTAAACTTGAAACTTAATGAATAAAACCATAACAAGAAGCATATAAATAGAATACATATAATCAATCCAAATTTGGCGACTCATTGTCGGGGTGCTGTGTGTACATTGAGGGAAAAAATTAACAAATGATTTTAGCAAATGGCTGCAATATAACAAAGAGTGAAAAATTTAAGGGGGTCTGAATACTTTCCGTACCCACTGTATATGCTTTCATAATGAGGAGATGGATGAAAAAGAATACAACAATAGTTGCATACACTTTACATAAAGGTCTGTTGTTCAGAGGTTTAAAAGCTTGATACTCAGCCACAGCTTATTAATTATAAAGCATAACCTTCTCATTCACTAATAATTGTGTAGAATATTTGGATCAGGCTTCTGGTGTGCAGTCCATGAGGGTGGCATGAGGGTCTGACATCCTCTAATGGGACCAGTACTCACAGCCAGGACCATGTAGCTTGACTGGCATTTGACAGAGAACACCATATTTGGCAGGTCCACCATCTCCAGTGCACCTGTTGTACCTTTAATTGTCAAGCATTTTCAAGGACAATATTCAAAATTCAATTACATTTTAAACCTTGAAAACATAAGTTAAATCAAGCATTTTCCAAACTTTCCAAACTCTGTACAAACCCTGGAGCTTGCAGACAGGACAAATGAACACAAATGTAAACACAGTAAAGGATACACATGATTGCAGGACAGTCTGTATGTGTTCTCTATGATTCCTTCTTCACTCACATCCACAAGAATTGGCTGACCACAGACGGCACAGATGCTGTCTGACAGGTGCTTAGTGGGCATTCCAGATGCACTGTAATACTGAAACAACACATCTGTACATCAGGTTGTCCTGACAAAGCAATTTATAACAGATGCAATAATAAAATGTATTGATGATTCTATAAAACAAGTACAGAACAGTATTTTAATGTTAATTTCTATTTCTTTTAGAAGCTATAAATTCAGCCTTAGAAACCAGTTTTACAATTTGTTTATATTATTAGCTTTCCATGAACCCTGGTAAATAAAATCAGAGTGAAAATTGACAATAATTTGAGGATGCTTTCATGCTAGAGCTTTTGCTACACAGTTTGGCTCATCATAGCTTGTTCAAACAAACATGGCTTTTGCAATTGGTATGACAGCAATCAGGCTAAACTTATTGTAATCAAGTAAATATCTGTTCATAACATGTTATAGGAAAAAGGTATACAGTACATAGGTAAAAGCAATGTAATGTTTATCCACCGATTTAAGCTCTTACCCCAACTGTAGATGCCATAAAATCTGCACACATCTCTGCAAAATCCCGACCGAGTACACCATAGTACAGGCCATAAAAGAGAAGCGAAACGCCAAAATCCATAGCATCTTCTGGCTTTATTCTGCAACCATAAAGAGAGGTGACATAAGACTCAACATAAATGATCACATCTATGCAGTTGACAACAAGTCTAAGACTAGGTGATATATTTTTGACACAGTGGTATATTATGTTGGGATCATGTTTTTGTATGGGATTATGTTTTGTCAGTAATATAAAATTAATAAACCGTGTGAATATATTTTTGATCACCAAGCGGAGTTTTTATTTGAGAACATTCCAAAAAGATTTTTAGAAGGGTTTCTTTCTTAAACTTGCAATAAAGCTGAAATGTTTAATTTAGTTCTAAATGATTCACAAGCTGTGTCCCAGACAGTACTTAATTCAATACATTTCCATTTAGCAGACACGTTTATCCAAAGCGACTTACAAATGAGAACAATGGAAGCAATCAAAATCAACAAGAGAGCAAAGATATGCAAGTGCTATAATAAGTCTCCATTAGCTTAATGCAGTACACGTAGCAAGGGTATTTTTGTTATTAATGTTTTTATTATATAATATAATAAATTTATATAATAAATAAAAAGAAAACAGATAGAATACAAAAAGATTAGAGAAGCTAGTTTTAATTTTTTTTAAGAAAACAAGCAGTTAGTAAATGAATAGAGTGCAAGTCTAAAAGGGGCAAGTTTTTTTTTAAAAGAATAGAATTAGAATATAGAGTGCTAGAGTTAGAGGGTCAAATAAAGATGGAAGAGATGTGTTTTTAGCCGATTCTTGAAGATGGCTAAGGACTCAGCTGTTCTGTTTGAGTTGGGCAGATCATTCCACCAGGAAGGAACTTTTAATTTAAAAGTCTGTGAAAGTGATTTTGTGCCTCTTTGGGATGGCACAATTAAACCTTGAAAACATAAGTTAAATCAAGCATTTTCCAAACTTTGTACAAACCCTGGAGCTTGCAGACAGGACAAATGAACACAAATGTAAACACAGTAAAGGATACACATGATTGCAGGACAGTCTGTATGTGTTCTCTATGATTCCTTCTTCACTCACATCCACAAGAATTGGCTGACCACAGACGGCACAGATGCTGTCTGACAGGTGCTTAGTGGGCATTCCAGATGCACTGTAATACTGAAACAACACATCTGTACATCAGGTTGTCCTGACAAAGCAATTTATAACAGATGCAATAATAAAATGTATTGATGATTCTATAAAACAAGTACAGAACAGTATTTTAATGTTAATTTCTATTTCTTTTAGAAGCTATAAATTCAGCCTTAGAAACCAGTTTTACAATTTGTTTATATTATTAGCTTTCCATGAACCCTGGTAAATAAAATCAGAGTGAAAATTGACAATAATTTGAGGATGCTTTCATGCTAGAGCTTTTGCTACACAGTTTGGCTCATCATAGCTTGTTCAAACAAACATGGCTTTTGCAATTGGTATGACAGCAATCAGGCTAAACTTATTGTAATCAAGTAAATATCTGTTCATAACATGTTATAGGAAAAAGGTATACAGTACATAGGTAAAAGCAATGTAATGTTTATCCACCGATTTAAGCTCTTACCCCAACTGTAGATGCCATAAAATCTGCACACATCTCTGCAAAATCCCGACCGAGTACACCATAGTACAGGCCATAAAAGAGAAGCGAAACGCCAAAATCCATAGCATCTTCTGGCTTTATTCTGCAACCATAAAGAGAGGGGACATAAGACTCAACATAAATGATCACATCTATGCAGTTGACAACAAGTCTAAGACTAGGTGATATATTTTTGACACAGTGGTATATTATGTTGGGATCATGTTTTTGTATGGGATTATGTTTTGTCAGTAATATAAAATTAATAAACCGTGTGAATATATTTTTGATCACCAAGCGGAGTTTTTATTTGAGAACATTCCAAAAAGATTTTTAGAAGGGTTTCTTTCTTAAACTTGCAATAAAGCTGAAATGTTTAATTTAGTTCTAAATGATTCACAAGCTGTGTCCCAGACAGTACTTAATTCAATACATTTCCATTTAGCAGACACGTTTATCCAAAGCGACTTACAAATGAGAACAATGGAAGCAATCAAAATCAACAAGAGAGCAAAGATATGCAAGTGCTATAATAAGTCTCCATTAGCTTAATGCAGTACACGTAGCAAGGGTATTTTTGTTATTAATGTTTTTATTATATAATATAATAAATTTATATAATAAATAAAAAGAAAACAGATAGAATACAAAAAGATTAGAGAAGCTAGTTTTAATTTTTTTTAAGAAAACAAGCAGTTAGTAAATGAATAGAGTGCAAGTCTAAAAGGGGCAAGTTTTTTTTAAAAGAATAGAATTAGAATATAGAGTGCTAGAGTTAGAGGGTCAAATAAAGATGGAAGAGATGTGTTTTTAGCCGATTCTTGAAGATGGCTAAGGACTCAGCTGTTCTGTTTGAGTTGGGCAGATCATTCCACCAGGAAGGAACTTTTAATTTAAAAGTCTGTGAAAGTGATTTTGTGCCTCTTTGGGATGGCACAATAAAGTGACGTTCACTTGCAGAATGCAAGCTTCTAGAGGGCACATAAGTCTGAAGTAACGAATTTAGGTAAAGGGGTGCAGAGTCAGTCAATACAAAACAAGCAACTAATAATTTCACATACTATTTAAGCAAGATGTGTTTTGATTAGGCACAAAACCTAATTCAGCTATGTGTTTGTATCAGCACTCAAAAGTCCAAGTGCAGTATTGAGTGCTGAGGCAAACAAATTAATTACACAAAGCATCCGATTCTTGAAGATGGCTAAGGACTCAGCTGTTCTGTTTGAGTTGGGCAGATCATTCCACCAGGAAGGAACTTTTAATTTAAAAGTCTGTGAAAGTGATTTTGTGCCTCTTTGGGATGGCACAATAAAGTGACGTTCACTTGCAGAATGCAAGCTTCTAGAGGGCACATAAGTCTGAAGTAACGAATTTAGGTAAAGGGGTGCAGAGTCAGTCAATACAAAACAAGCAACTAATAATTTCACATACTATTTAAGCAAGATGTGTTTTGATTAGGCACAAAACCTAATTCAGCTATGTGTATCAGCACTCAAAAGTCCAAGTGCAGTATTGAGTGCGGAGGCAAACAAATTAATTACACAAGGCATTACACATACTTTAGTGTAATTATTTGTATGTACATATGTCTATTTATGGCTATGAATGATTTTATAGGTTCCATTTAGCCTTACAAAACCCTTTACACCATGTTAACCCAATTCCTGCTAAATATTTTTCTTACTATTCTCATTAAAAAGGTGTAACAGAATTTAAAATGTGAGAGAGAGAGAGAGCGATATAGACTCAAGCTCAGGTAAGTATCACTCTTCTTCGAGTGTCAGAGGAGGAAAAAATACTTTACATACAACAAACTGGTAAGCACAAATCGTATAAAATCTAACAATCCAAGAAACAAGAGAGAAGAGGTCCATAAACAAAATGACTGAAACTGCTGTGCTTTTGTAGTATGATCACTGATTGAGTTTGGGTGATATTCATCAGTAATCTGAGGAGCGTGATCGTGTGAGGGAAAGGAATAAGATTCAGGTGAGTGAGAGAGTGAATAGAGCTTGCAGAGTGCACGTGACAGTTCAATTCAGGTAGCCAGGGTAGATCCCACCGATTAGATTGTCTATATGGAACAAGTAGCTGAAGTGATCACCGGGTCCAGGCAGGCAGAGAGGGCCAGGCAGAACTTGTGGAGTGCCGGCTAAACAGAACTGAAAGCATCTGGAGGACCGGCAGAACTGACAGTGTCTGGAGAGCAGGCAAAACTGAGAATGTCTAGAGAACTGGCTGACTTGCTAATGTCAGGAGTGCCGGCTAAATTGCAGTTGACCTAACATCCCAAAGAGACTTCTAAGGCAACCTTCAAAGCTGGGACAGAGGAACTAGGACAAGCCTCCATAGCAGAGACGATGGGGCTAAAATCGGCTTCTTTGACTTGATACAGGACAGTTAACTATTTCAAGATCAGCCTTCTTGGCTAACACAGAACAGGCAAATGTTTCAGGAACAACCTCCTCATTCATAACAGGACAGGCAGAGAACTCTGAAACAGCCTTCCAGGCCAAAATTGGAAACCGTATTTTTGGGAATGGCATATTTTACTGACTCAGGACAGGTAACTAACTCTGGAAAGGCCTCCTTGGCCAGCAAAGAACAGCTAAAAGTTTCAGGAATGACCTCCTTTGCTCAGAGCATTGGGCTTAGTAACTCTGAAACCACCGGACTGGGCAGTGCTCTGATCATTTCATTTGGCAGCGCAGAGACCACCGGACTGGCCAGCACTGAGACAATTTGACTTGGCATCACTGATTAGCATTGGGTTTGAGGAGGCTGAAACCTCTGGGTTAAGTATCCCCTCAAGATGTTCAGGGGATACTGCTCTGTAGCAGATTCTAGACTGTGCTCAGGGGCTGGAGCGGGCTCTGGAGTGGGTTTATTGGTTGGTGCTCAAGGGGTGGAGCTGACTCTGTAGGGGACTAATGGGATAGGGTGGATTCAGAAGCAGGTTTATTTATTGGTGTGGACTTTGGAACTACTTCTTGGGTTGAAGCGGACTCTGGAGCAGGCTCATTGGCTGGAGTGAACTCTAAAGGGGTCATGAATTGATAAATAAAATTTTCCTTGATCTTTTGACATGTAAGAGTCATTGTACTATAAAAACATCCTGTAAGTTTCGAAACTCAAAACTTTTGTTTGTCCAAAAACAGATTTTATTGAAACCAACCAATGACTTGTTTCAGATTTTGTCATATTATGACATCATAGTGCAACAAAAGCTTGCCTCTACATCATGTCTATGGCCCAGCCCACTGGAGTGTTAAGGCGGGCTCACACTGTGCGGTTTTTAATAGTCCTTTACGATTGTTGCTTGTATTACAAACATTATGATGTCACTCTGTGGGAACTCAGTTGTCATTAATGCCAGACTGTACAATAGTCAAGATGCGATAAAAATGGATGCGTGCAAGAAAACTTGTCCGGAGTTTTACATTATCAACCCATACACGTTCAGTGACTGCGAGCTGCATTACACATGGGGCTGAGATGTTAGCTATAATGAAAAGTATATGGCGGCAATAGCGGCGTATTTAAGAATAGTGTAAGCAGCACTACACACCCACATAAAAACAGCAGCGCAACCAGTGTTTATCATAGCAAAGGCAACATAGCATATGAATTCCATGAGCAGAGGACGGGAGCGCTGGAGTTTATGGCGTTTAGAAGAAATCTCTAGCATTAATTCTGATCATTGCAAGACAGTTTGACGTTCGCTGTAGAAGTCACACTGCAGGACTGTGCGCCAAAACCCGCGTGCGTCAGACCGGAGTTCTCGAGAGAGACTGGAATTCTTTATAAAAAAAAAAGTCTGCGAGCTGATTTCCAGCTACAAGGAGAAAAAGAAAAACAGATTATGCAGGAGGGAGATGCAGGGTAGAGACCTGCACTCCCGTGGGAGCCAACGTGACAACTCTTGATGGGCGAGTGCAGGTGCGGGCGGGAAGAGACTTGTGTGTGTGCGGGATGCGGGAGAATAAAATGATTCGCGGGACTCCCGCAAAATAGAAATCTAAACAAAGTGTTTAAAACATATAAATTGTTATTTATCTGTTGCACAAAAGCAAAACGAACAACTAATATTAACATTAAAATGATTGACATGCACAAGCTAGGCATAGTTTCTATTTACAACACGTGTTTAAAAGGTTGCGCAACGTAGCCAATCAGACTCAGCTGTTGATTTCTGGAACGCAATGGGCAATCAGAGGTGATTAAGTTAGAATCTACTCACCGCAGTGCTGAAATTGCGTGCTCACAAATCCTCTCATTTTAACACACGAAGTGCAGACACTGTGAAAGATTCATTGTGCATATATTTAATGTGATATAACAGAACTTTGAGATCGCGATTAACTGAGATGATAGAGGAAGCGCGCTGCTCGCATTCTGCCATGCCAAACCATGCACGCAGCAGCACATGCTTGCTTTTCTGTTAAAAATAACAGTGGTTTGTGAATGTGAATGTGAATGCTTAGCCTAAATGACAAATATTTTATCGGGAGCGTTTATGCTGGTATGCTGTGGAGCTTAGGAGATATTACAGAACCATTTTATGTAAATTTCTTCGATGTACTGAAGAAAAAATCGATATAGATTTACTTTTATGCGGGCGGGAGCGGGACAAAACATGAATGTCGCGGGCAGGGGCAGGACCAGATAAGATATATTTCTGCGGGAGTGGGCGGGTGCGGGACAGAATCTTGCAGGAGCGGGACTGAAAAATCCGTAGGTCTCTAATGCAGGGAACAGGGATTGCAGTAACTGTTATGCTGATGTTGTGGCTGGTCAAGCAAATGTTTGTGCTTGTTTCTGTATGATATAAGTGTTCATATATCTATTAAAATACTGATATTCTGGTCTATAACTCCTCCCCGAACTTCTCTCTGCCTTGTATCTTGGTCTCTCATTGGTTGTAGGTCATCGCCGATGTAGTTTTCAGTCAGAAATCATTGCACACGGCGTGATTGTGAATTTTGCAGGCTTCGGCGATTCCCTCAGATCGCATATTTGATAATTCACACTGCGTGATTGTCACTCGCGTGAACAAGCCTCCGATTTCGGGCATTTGTCGGCAATTTTGCAAAATCTGTCGGC